AATTGCTGCATTGCTTTTTGTGGTGTGCCGCTTGAATTGGCTTGGGTAACAGAAGAATTGAGCATGGAGACATTGGGATATTTTTGGTAAGCATAAGCTAGTATGGCTGATTTCTGTACCAAGGAAATAAACTAAAACTGTAACCAAAACTAGAACTAGTGTTGCAGTAAGTGGCTAGAATAAAAAGAGTCAATATAGCTCTATCAGAGGGAAGTTGTACTTCAAAAACCTATTAGAGTCCTTTATGATGAGTATATGAAAGCAAACAAGGAGCTGGGAGGGGTGCAGTTTGGTTTTCAAAACACTTTTGGCCAGGCCCCTCAGTAAAGGCTCATAAAAAATTAAGTTTCTGATGAACCAAGAGACAAAATCTGTGGCTTAGTAACTGTTTAAAAGCTGCGCAGCAGTGGATAAAAATACAACTGTATTCACAACAAATATTTGTTACAATTTCACCATTATTGGTCTTTTATTACTAAGTGACGCTGAAAAGATGAAGAATATAATACAGTGATGAGGCTTACTGATTACAGTAAGTTCTTTGGGATACTAAAATCAAAAGCCAGCTGTAAAGTGTTGCAGAAGGACACTACAAATTGCCGAATAAGAAAAAAGCTAGCAAAATTAAGTTAGCTTAAACAAATCCTAACTTTTCCACACAGGCTAATGTTTTCTGAATATCACTACCATTCAAGAAAGAGGCTATGGAATCCTTTTGGCCAGTTTGATTAAAATAGTCACAGTTCAAAGGTAAACCACAAGGAAGGAAAGTGAGATTACACAGGAAAACATTGGTATAGCACTCTACTTTTCTGTATCTTGTATTTTTCTAGGTTACAAGGAGGAGCAAGAGGAATGATCAAAGTTGTTAAACCTTTCCATCTGAGGAAATAGTAAATGAAAAGTAAACAGACCAAGATGTTTCTATTTGGAGAGAGGGTATGTAAGGGGATACTATGGAAGAAATATATAAAACGGTGAGTGGTATTAGGGCCTATAGGGAAAAATCATGTACAGTTTCTCACAATAAGAGAACTGAATGGAAGTCTGTAAAATTCTTGTTTCGCAGAGCAAAACCCAAGGAAGTCATTTTTCCCATAATGGAGAATTGAATGTAGAATACACATAGTGTTATGGTAATAAAAATGGGAAAGGGTTAAAAAAGGAATCAGAGTAATCTTAGAGACAAGCCTATTGAAGACCATTATGCAGTGGTCTAGAAAGAAATCTCCAGCTTGGAATTATTGGGAGCTACAGGATATGCCCTGGAAAGAATCAATCTGTATGTCTAATGATCTTTTCATAAGCACCCACAATTGGCCAC